TGTCAGAACCAGAAGGCATACTTCAGCCTCCTCCACTGACACATGGCTCCTTCATGTTTGAAGAAAACTATATCAGGATTTACTGCAGAAACTGTTCAGATACGCTTTTTTAACCCACTTTTTTTACAAGCTTAGTTTCGTACAACAGAACTTCAGCATCTCTTTTTGTTACAGTATTTTGTCTTCCACCATTGTGAACATGTCACTATATGTATTACAGCTACAGGTGTTGACCTGTTTATTAATAACCACTTAAAATACATATTCTGCAAGATCATTTTCTAATGGCTACAAATGGGTTACAGAAATAGGGTTATAAAATGCCAGCCAGGGAAGGTCAGGACAGTGTCTGCCACAGCTGTACCTTCCTCTTTCCTGCAAAGTCATGTATAGTGCCCATTTTTTCCACTATGCAATTGAACAGGTAATGAGCATCATCAGTGGCACTGGAGCCTCCTGTTCTATCTGATACAAGTGAGTTTCACTCTTTTCCCCTGGAGCAGTCAAAATGTTTTAACCATGACTGAATAACTGAAATGCTGAAAATATTTTAATGAGCTAAAGAAAACATATTTCTACCTTTCCTCTAATCACATAGGGACCAATCTGTATCCTACATCACTTAGGAAGGATTTTGCTATGCACTTCACTAATTCTTGGTGTGAAAGATACAGAACATGCTGTCACGCATGTTCTGTGGACATCTTTATGGCAAGAGTCAAATTCAATGACATTTACATGCTGATTGGTAAATGGTTCTATTTCAAGGAAAAAGAAGCCAGCTACCAAGATACAGCCACATTTCTTATGGTTTCCTGATTTTCTGCCTTCTGGTATACCTAAATCCTCTAAATACGAGCTACTGAATCAGCATTTTGTATGCTCAGATGTGATTAGAGCTATTGAGAGGACAAGGATTCCATTTTGCTGTAGATTTCGAGGTTTTGGAATTTGTTTTCACTATTCAGAGGAATGCAAACAACCCCCTCAAACATTTTTGCAAATGGAAATTGTTATGAAACGTCTGTTTCGGGATATAAAACTTGATCTTTTCAGCTCAAGTTCTTTCTCCTCTGGCCATAAGTGACAAGGGAACCCCAGACCAAAACTTTCTCAAGAAGTGTTTGTCAAAACTGATATGTTGATACAACATTTTGGCTTTGATGAAGTGACATATTTCATTTCACTGAAAATATTCTGACCAGCTCCAGATGTGATTGACTGATTTAAGCTAAGAAAATGATTCATTGTGAGAGTCTGAATAACCCAATAAAATAATAGAGTAATGCAATGTTCTTCAATTCATCAGCATTGGATCTGAACTCTTGTCTTTATGCATGGGATAAATTCAAAAAATATAAACAAATCCATAGAACAGAAAGGATGTTTATGTCCATCCAATATAATCTCCTGGATAATATTGGCCAACCCGTTTAGAATTCTGAAGTCATAGGAAAGTAAGGTCTGAATCCAACTTTATCCTCTGCTGAAGAACTTATATACATAGAATACATCTGAGAGAATTCTGTGTAAGATGTTCCTAAAGTTTTCTAACAGAAGAGAGTCTAAAACTTTCCCAGATAGCAGTTCCTATACTATCAGGATACGCTGATCTTTGTTTTCCTACTACCTAACCTACAGGCTTTGGATGAAACCTCAGATAATTAATTTAAGCCAAACTTTACAACTGATCCTTGCCCTCAATTGTACCAGTTCCAGATATATTTCAAATATAATCAAGCTTTTCAAGGTCCCCACTTGTTATTCCTTTTTCTTAACTAAATAAAGCATTTCTTGAAGTGTTTCCCAGCTGCCTGTGTTTTATAAACCTGTATTTTTGAAGCGAAAAGCAAACAAATTAATTTTATTTAATTCTGAATCATAGTCATATTTCCTGATTAGTTATGTCAATACTTACGTAACCATATATTCTAATTTTGGGGTTGTATTTTCTACATCAGGTTCAGCTGCTACACCACCCTTAGTAAGGGGCTTCAACCTCTATTTCAGTCAGAGGAAGGCAGTCAAGTCCTCCACCAGTTTACCTCCTCAGACTATCATGTCTGCTGTTAAGCAGAGCTCTGGCCACCAGCATGTGTCATGAAAGCCATAACACAGCCACCAGATGCAGAAAAGGTGGGGTGGCTAACCCTTGTGAACTTCACACTTATCAGGGACTGGAAATCCCTGCCTGAACTAGAGCTTTGAGCATCGGCTCTGGAATTTCCCAAGCCATCTGACAAAGTGCAGGCATCACATGAATAGCTCCTGCCAAGCCATCGCGGTGATCCACACGCTGTTTCCTTCCTAGCGTATCAAGAAGACTGGTGTGTTATCAGCCCAGGCTAGAATTAAACCACAGAGGTGGTTTTGTTGTGAACAGAAAAGAGAGGGCAAATAATTATTTGTTTTGTTTTCAAAACCAGCAAAGACCAAGTCTTGCTGCACTGCTTTTATCTCAAAATCTATAAACAGAAAATGCTGCTGGGCCTTAACAAGGCTTTACTGCAGAAGATAACTTTCGTAATTAATTTGGGATGTTTGCCTGATTAATATAATTGCAGTATCTCCTTGATCCAGAATTGATGCAATTTGGGTGGGATTCGCGCACCAATAGAAAATAAAGCCTGATTCCTAGTCATTTATCTTGGGAACAGGCTGTCCAAGCCTACATAGATCAGAAAATCTGATTCTTACTGTTTTTCTTCAAGGAGGCTCCTGGGGCCAATGGTAACATATGAGGTTTCATATCAGGTCATTAAATTGTCGTGCTTTGTCCTTTGATTTAATTAAAATCTTCTTAGTTATTCAGACTTCTGTGCTGCAAGCTGAAATGTAAATGAATGGTAAGATGAATGGTTTAATATAACAACCGCAATTCTATATTTCTTCTTACCTGAGACGTTAAAATTTGATAATGTATTATTTCTGACTCAATATAGTCATAAGTTCTCAGTTGTCAGAATAACTACTTGCTTTAGAAAACTAGAAAACATAATTTATAGTTTCTGTAACACAAATATTCCCTAAAGAAATTATCTTCTCTTTTTCTATCTACCGAATGTTGTTTCAAATGCTATGAAGTTTAGGGGACTGAACAACATCATACAGATAATTTTGATGGTTTTGTATTTTGCCTAAATAAGCACAAAATCAGACTTATATTGCCCAAATTTTATATATCCTCCTTTTTTTACTTCGTTGGTGAATAGGAAGACACTTAGTCCCATGGCTATAATCTACTTTTTAATATATCGCTAATGATTTATTATAGATGTCTCTCAGGAAGAAGGAAAAGATTTTTCTGCATTCTTCCTCTGCTGACTTCAGCAATATAATCAGACATTTTATTTTATTTCCACTGATACCACTAAGTTCTAAAATCTAAGAAAAACATGTGTACTCCTTGATACCACTGGAAACTAACATTTAACACAGATGTGTGCATTCTGCACATTTGCATTCTCCATATGTATTCTGTTTTTAAAATCTCTGCTTAGTGTAGATGGCAACCTACTCAATTACCCTCAGAGTATTTTGCTCTTCTAGACATAACATCTGCAATTCAATTAAATGTTTCATCTATTTTCCTCCTATCATTCCAGGATATAAACCTTGATTCTGTTAATCCAGTGTTGATGCTCTTTTCATTGTGAAAAGGGCATTTTGCAATTCTTTAAAACAATGCACTACTAGAGAAGTGAAAAGAAAACAAGAGTATTTTGGAAATATAGTATTTTAGGAAAAGCTACTATGGGATTAGATCAGTGATTTCTTCATAATCACAGCTTTTCCCTGGCAGACAATTAGAGACGATCATATATGCTGGGTTTCTCTGAGGGCACTGAAATGCCTAGTTTCTGTTCCAGTTTAGAGTAAGAAAAAAATTAACACTTCTGTAGCTTACAGTTCCGTGAACAGCCTCTGGTTTTCCTCTACTTTTTAGACCATTTTGTAATAATTTCTACAAGAGCAAGTCATAGCTTTCAAGCAGTGGATTTGCAGAAAGAGATCTCATATGAATTGTTGTGGAGTAGCCCAACACTAGACGACCTGCAGAAATAGCCAGTATTTCTACAGACAGGCTAAAAAATGTCTACTTACACACATAAATGCTTTTGCAGGTTATTCTACATTGTACTAGCTTTTATAAGACCTTGTCATTACCGTATCTGAGCACAGACAGACAGTAATTAAGTGACAGCATGGGTATCTACTGCATTTTCTTTCATTCTCTTTCAGTCCTCAGCAGAGGACATTTTTCTTTCCAGGTCTGTTTACTTAATGTGTGTCCAGTGCCTGTATGAGTCCAGTGAGTCTGGAAAGTCAATGCACCATCTCCAGGGAGGTCCAACTGCTCCAGGAGGAGGTACTTGTCTGCTGGACCAGGAGAAGCACGGCTGCTGCTCACAGTCCTCCCCTGGGACATCCCTTGGAGGTGTCAGCCCCAGGCTGGTGGGAGCAAGGCAGCAAGAGCAGGGAAGAATGGGAGAAAAGGTGACAGCCCCAGGAGCTCTCCCCTGGCAGAGGTTTCCCAACACTTCTCTGGTCACCAGCTCTATGCTGCTGCTCACTGCCTTCCCCAGGAACCCTCTTCTGGTCCCTTCTTTGAGGTGTCTCAATGAGTGGCTATAAAACCTGGGATCTGCCTTATATCAAGAAGATTACATTTTGGAACTCACTATCTGTACAGCTGCCCAGACCCAGACTCCCTCTCCAAACTAGGAGGAGTGGTTTAGACTTGAGTTCTGCACCCCAAAACTGTGTGTGCCCTTTGTCTGGAGTATGTGCTCACTTCCCCACCTTATCTTTTTTCTTCTTGTTTCCATCGTGCTTTTAGCTTTCTAGAGCAATTCACTTTACGCTCAGTCTACAAAGGACAAATTATTCAAACCAAACAGTACACAGAGGAGACAGCTTGTGACAATAGCATCAAGTGTTGATACCAAGGGATTATTATAATAGAAGCTAGAACAAATTATTTTCTGTGAAAGAAAGTCTGCTTTCTCGAATGCATAACGTTTATATAACAGTCAGAAACTGGCCAGTTCAGCAGATTTTATACACATAAATGTTATATGTAATATTTTATGTATAAATGTTCCAAGTTTACTCCAGTGTAAAGCTTTCCTTTAAAGAGTAATTCTCACCCCATAATTCACTTTTATGATTTTCTTAGGGCTTCGAGTGTAAAAGCTCAATCTGGTTCTGTTTTATTCCTTAAAAAAAAGAAAGAAAAGAGGCAGAGAGCAAGTTAATTTTTACATTGAATCTGCCAAAGGCACGTTGTCAGGCCTGAAGTTAAACATGTCACTTCTGCAAACACATGCGCACACACACGTGCACATCCAGATACACAAACAGCTTTTTAAGGCTTAATGACAATAGAAATAGCTTCACGTGAGTGGAAGAAGGGAGGCCCCGGCTGGAGCCGGTGACTGCAGCAGGCTGTGCTCATTCTTGGGCTCCTCTCCAACCCTCCCTCAGGCCCTCCTGTTTCACATCTAGTGTAAAGATGTTTCTCTCCCCCAGACAGTTTCTCACAAATCTGAAACTTGGGCTTTCTGCCAGACACTGGGTCTTAGGCTGAGTCCCTTGCCTGACCGCGAACCCTTCCATGTCTCGTCCCTTCTTTCTAGTCCCAGAGAGCTGAAACAGACAGCAATAGGCACGTTCTTCATTTGTTCTTCCTCTTCTGCCCTATACATGCAGTGGAGAGTGTTGACTCCTGTTCAGCCAAACCATGAGTGCGCTTTCTCAGGTGCTTTATTACAACCCCAAAAGAGAGGAGCTGGTGAGGCTAACTGAGGAAATTACACATGCTTGGGCTGGAATGTTATCTGACTATAAGACAGATTTTGAGCTGTCCCTGGATCCATCAAAGCCAAGGACAAGGCTGCCGTTTTAGAACTGTAAGAATGACCAACAGGGTGTCTGCTTCTTCAATCCCCTTCTCTCTTCGACAGCTGCCCAACTTTCAGAAATACCATGCAACCAATCCTTTTTTGCCCCCAAATTGTCTATTTTAGATAGAAATTACTTCCAGTATTTTCTTGTATCTAACCTATACCTGATCCCAGAATTGCAAAACCAAAGCCATACTCGGGTTGCATTACCAGAATTGACTCTGCTAGGATCTCAAGTCCTAATACATTTTTCCCCCATGTAGACTGCGCTGTACTTGGGAGCTGCAAATATTCTTGCATTCCATTTCATACTTAAAAATTCTTTAGCTCGTATACAGGCTGCGGAAGAGAAATACTTTTACCATTAGGATGACATATGAGTGTTTAAATCCCCTGCTCATCCACACAGGGGTTACAGCACAAATAATGGCAGCATCCACTCCACTGCCACTACCTCCAGAGTCACTACCATCTTATTGCTGTGATAATTTCTTGGTGACAAATACAGCAACACTTTGGGATCAGCCAGTAATGTGGTCCCAAGGTTCATGGCACAGCACAAATACAAAGCAATTTACAGGATTCCTGCTGCTCTTGAGCAGCTTGCACTTTCAGATGTGAATATTCCTCAGTTATTTTACCATTTTTCTTGACAAGCACATTTATAGAGGTGGATCTAGTTGTGTAAAAGTCAATTTTCTAGGAAAACAGAGACTTTTTTGTTAAAAGGAGATCTGCTCAACTCAACAGGGACAGCTGAGTTCAGCAGTCATTCAGAATGGCTATCAGAAATGGGAAATCAGCATTGGCCTCATGGGATTGCAGAGGATTCCTCAAATCACTTTGACCCACAATTATGCACACTGCTCATATGTTGGTTCACTTTTCAAGTGCAAAAAATGGTGCTCCGTAAAGCAAAAGCCAGGTCCAGTTCTGGGGATAGTTTATTCCAGGAACTGCTTCTTACTGTGATAGGTTTGGTTCCCAGCAAGCCACATAGTACATGATCACATGTAAGAATACAACTGACACCCTCAGTATCATCTTACAAGAACACCAGTCTGCAACACTGCCTTCACATTTCAGACTCCTTACACTGCAAAATCATAGTAAAAATATATATTTGTTTATACACACATGCATACACACATACACATACACATCTCATGGTCACAGAGATGCCATTGGTGCCTCTATGCACTTAGCAGAGAAACAGCCCCAGTAGCGTGTGACAGAGATCAATCTATACTGTTTAGGCACTGTTTGGTACCATCTTGCACTGTTCTTCCTGTTCTACAAAACAAAAAGTCCTTTCCTTGGAGCACTTCAGTTCCCATTCAGTGATTGCTGTACATCTGCTAAACGAGGTGTGTGATCATGTAAAAAGAAACAGACAAAGGGCACAGTAAAGGAAGTGAGGTAACATTGCACAAGCACCTCAGTTTTGGTGTTTCATAGCTTATAAGTTACTCCAGTGTAAATTTTGTGTTTTATTGTGAGAATTGCCATCCCCATTGTAAAGATATTTCTCAGCTACAGCTCGCAAAGTTTGATTTGAAGGGCTCCAAAATGGGAGCACACCTTCCTTACACCTTTAATTGCTTCTGCATCCAAACCAGAATGATCAGATAGTTTAATGTGTCACCATAACAACTGCTGAGCACTTTAGTTTAAGCAATTTTTCTCTGCTCTTTTGTTCAAAGAACCAGTAGCTGAGTCATAGATTTCATACTCTTATTCTGAAACAGATCTAATCAGACCAAAATGACCATTTTAGTCTGTTTGTCCTTGGTACACAATAGACCACAAACCAACATTTCCTTGGTCCCCAGGGGTAAGCCCATTGAAGAAAATATTTTGAATGCATTATTGCTATTGTGTGATCATCAGAAATGAACACTTCTGACAAAATCTTGGTGGCTTTTGAATTAGTTACCATTTGGAAAGGTTTCATTTCCATTTCTAGCAAATCTTGAAACAACACAAATAAATACACCTAAGGAACGGATTTCACATACCTATACTTGCAGGGGGATTTGTTTTTTCTAGTGAATATGCCCACATAGATTTTCAGATGAGGTTTAAAATCTTAGTTCCTTTACAAACAATTCCCTTACTGGAATCAAATACTGGAAAATGTTTGATAACAAAACCTTTACCTAAAAAAACCTCATTGTATCTGAAGTAAGTCAGACATGTTTCATCTCTGAAGACTTTAAACCAAGCAGGTTTCTTAGCTTGAGAAGTATTAAAATGGTGTCTTTGGTAACCAGGACTTATTCATATACACAATATAAAATCAAAACCCCATCACAAATTCTCTAGAGAACCCTCTTCGCATTACTCATATGGGGCTGCAGACAGCAGACACACTAAGACACATGTGGAGACCAAGCTTCTACTTGTTCTTACAATTCAGGTACTGAACTACACTGATAATGTTGAAACACCATGAAGAAATAAACCTCGAAGATGAACGATGCAATATAATTTGGAAGAGGCTTCCAGTTTTGTCAGATACAAACATCAGGATTAATGTAACAAAGGAGGCAGTTCTGCCATTGTCTATGAATAGCTGTATACACATCAGAGGGCTGGGATGCAAGACAAAATGTTGGCCAATATCAAACAAAAGTGAATGTGTATCATGCCCTTGTTTATCATGCCACTCCTTTTGAGTGGCTGCATAACATGAATAAATTTTAGTTTTCATGTCAGTGATCTCTGGTGATATAAGAAGCCAGCATAACATCCTGAGTGCTGGAATCTTAAACCATTGCTTATGCCTTTGAAAGCTCATTTACATTAGCCCAAGTATCAGGTGTGGTTATGAGTGAGTGAACTTCTTAAAGACATTATCTAGCACATTGTGAATGGCTAAGATGTACATGAGCTCAACACAAATCCTCCTTTGGTCTCTACAGATGAGACCACAGTTGAACACCTGTAGAACAGATTACGTACAGATGTCTTCAAAGATTCAAACAAAGAAGAGCGTTAAGGGAAACAAGGTGCTGGGAATTCAGGAAACTATATTTGGATCACTACAGTTGCCAGAGCGCTACAAAAGTCAGACTGTCATCTAGAAAGCCACAAAAGCTAGATCTGTCAAATAAATGTGAACCTCCACCAGCCCCTATCCTGTTTCATAGCTGCAAATAGCATTTGACTAAGTAGCTGAGAAAATGAATTAATTTAAAAGTAATTAAATAGCTTGTAAGAACATAGAGGTGTTCTATCCCAAAACTGACTATGAAATTATTGACACACATAGGGATTATTCACTGCCATCTTTCAGGAGTAACAAACAAACTTTAAAACAGCACACAGCCACATATATATTTATAAGCATTTTCTCAGGCAGACCAATTTGTTTGATTTTGAAACAGCAACTGGATCTCTAGAATGCATTATACTCTTTTGAGGCTAGACCTAGGCACACTTCCCATCCCAGAGTTACCTTATATCCACACTGCTCAGATATAGATCCCTAGTTTGTGCAAGTAACAGCCCTTTCAACTCCACATTTCAATGTGATTATGTACTGACTCATTGAGAAGAATTCTCACAAGTTATTATTCTGAAACATTTATTGATTTAGGCAATTCATTAGAAATATTTCATCTCAAATATGTTTGCCTTGTTAAAGTACTTGAAAATACAGTACAAGCTTGTCTGGCTGAGCCAGAAATTAAATCACCAGAAACATATTGAAGTATGCTCTGCACGCCTTTGGAAATGGTGACATTTACATGGATTTAATAGATTCTTATCTTCTTTAGAATTAGAAAGGATGAACAAATGCAGAGGAAAAGCAATCCAATTTCAAAAAAGGATGCTCCAGACATTATTCTCTGACAATGTAGCTACAAATTCCTGCTCTGCATCTGATTCCCTATTCATAAAACAGTTGCCCGTATTGCACAGGACATTATGAGGCTGTTCACACTGAACAGTGTGAGTGACTTCAGTAGTACAGTAACAGAGTCATCCAAACTCCTAAAATAAAAATAAAAATTAAAACAAATAAAATAAAATAAATAAAATAAAAATAAAAGATGGAGTCAGTGAACTCCATTCTTCCTCAGGAAACCCTTCAGAGGATGTCATGCAAACACTTTCCATGGGGCACATCAGTAAATTTCTCCAACGTGACTGTAGGAGACCCATCATATGGTCTCAGTTTTTAGTGATTCGTGCTACTAACTGCAACAGCACCAGGCTGAAATGCCTGCACGTGGTTGTCCATTCTGTTTAGCTGTTAACAGATCTCTGTCCACTGCAGCTTACACTCTTCTCTGCTGGATGAGAGTCCTTATGAAGCATTCTTCTTAATTGGCAATGTAGGAGGAACCACTCTGTTCCAAGGGGAAAAACACCCTGGTTTGAGCTGTGCCATGTTGTTTGCCCTCAGACTGACAAGGGCCACTACTCAATACAGAGTCCACACACCACTTTATTCACTAGAATGACCATAAATCACAATCCCAGACCTAACACTTTCCTTATCTGTTGAAAAGAAAATTCAGCATCTTAGCTTTTGTTGTTGATGTTTCTGGTGCTGTTAGAATGCAGAGAAGCACAAGGCATAATTGGGAAATTTTTCCTACGACGTCCTATTCCCATAACCTTCTTTGCATTGTCTTTAAACCCCAGGCATACATTTCTCTTCATTATGGAAAATGTATGCTTCATTTAAGGCTCAAAACAGAAATGCTGCTTACAGTAATGCTTTCTTGATTCCTATTAACTTATGAACTCTTGGTGGGCTGCCCAGCACTCAGAGCAGCTTTTCTGCTGTTTTCCAAGCTACATCAAAGTGTTTGCCTCAAGAGCCTGAGGTTGTTTTTTCTTTAATTTTCGGTGAGAGAAATCCTCAAGAATCATTTTCTAATGTTAGTCATGTGTGCTGTAACTGCATTTCTCTCTTTATGCTAAGCTTAGCAGTTCCTCTACACATAACACAGAGGGGAAACGGTACTCCCACACTGGACACAAGTGATGTGCAGATTATGTGGCATATTACTCCTAGAAACCTTGGGAAGAGGTCTTCAGCCATGCAGTGCCAATCTATACCCAGATTTGCTTCTGCTTCAGTGACTCGGGGTATCACACAAAGACGATGTTAGACTCCAGTTGAACTGCAAGACACTGCAGCAAATACAACATGAGCTTTTTCTTGCAATAGCCCCTATCATTCCCACATATAGTAGGACCACATCCATGAGAAGTATGTGCAAATCCAAAGTTTGATGTCTAGCTGGCGGCATTCACATCTGAAGATGAATCATGAACAATATGGATCACTCAGGGGTGCACACTTGAGTAATGGACCTTCCTTTTCCTATGAAGTTAATGCATACAACCAGCCCTTTCACCCCCTGAACTACGTGAAGCCACAGCTGTAGTGTAAACACATTGCTGAGGAGATCTGGAAGGGTTAGAGATATACGTGGAGATATACAGAACTGCATAGGGCAAAATTCACTTGATAACAGTCACTGTCCTGTAGGGAGGCTCATAAGCTTCCCCTGATGCCTGAAGAAGTGGCTGCAATGTTGCTCAGTCAGGGATGGATGAGCACTGGAAAGCCCTTCTGCTCAGATGCAGATGAAGGGGGACCATGCACAACAAGACTGTCTTTACTCAGATTCAGATCCTACTCGCACCCAGAGCTAACAGTTGGCATATATTTTGCCACTGTATTTTACCTCACCAGTTTCAGGAAAACTCAACAGCAGGTTTTAATTCTTTCCACTATTTATCCTTGTCCTGGCTGGGAGCAAAGATCTTTTTTTTTAGGTTAGCCTTTTCAGACACATTGCATGGCTACTGATACAGTGAAAACTTCAACCAGCAGCACATAATGATGATGGCAGTTCTGAACATTTATTCCTTCAGCAGGATACTGAAAATCAAATACAGTGAACCAGCAGCTCTCGTTTCGGCAAACTAATGTCCTGCCTTCACTTTCCAAGGGATCAGAGCTTCTCAGTCACAGCCTCTGCTTCTTACAGAAGAAAACTACTTACATCTATAAGCCCCAGAGATCTGTTTGATTGGAAGTGGTCCTTAAGAGCAACCTGGGGTGGACCTAAGTCTTCAATGTGATTGCTTTGTGTTGATACGTAAGATAAAGAAGTCACAGTGAAGTCATCAACTCTGATTAAGGGCAGATTTGCGCAAGCAATAAGCACTACGGACATGAATCTGCAAACATCAGCAGGGCTTGCTCTCTAACGCATACCATAGAACAGACACAGACATACGCGTGACAGGAGTTTGGAGAGAGCCATTTTATCATTTGTTGCTTGTTTTTTCCTGTGGAGCAACGGAGTTTGGGGATTAATCAGTTTGTGCGTGCAGTGTGAGTGATGAGAAGACATCAGCTCCCACGGAACAGGGGGAGATCCAGACAGAGTGTGCAGCCCCATGCCTGGGCCAGACACATGCCACTGCCCTGTGCTGCCCCAGAGAGCTGCACAAGAAGGTGCCATCCCATCAGCCTTCCTCATGTAGCCAGGGATGCGCTGAGGGCAGGAGGACGTGTGGTTAGCTGTTCCTGATCTCACCCTGGGCTAAGGCTCAGCACAATGCTACACAACTTACACAACACCGGATCAGTCCTCTCAGCACTGACATTATCCAGATTGGGTGAACTTTGAGTTTCAGGCTGGGCTTTGCAGCTTACAGTCAGCTCTTACAGTATGTGCTGGCTGATGTTATGCTCTGTGTATTGTAATCCACTATATATCCCCTTTCACATTGCAGCTTCAAAGAAACACACTTATTTAAGTGATTCACTCACCTGGAGCTACAGACAACCTGAAGTGACCCCAAAGGCAGAGGCAGGTAACAAAGACACGACCTAATCCTGAAGCACATTAATGCCGAGTTTTGTTGGGAATTTTGTCTGGGCTAGGATGAGAGGATCTGGCCACAATGAGCTCATGGAAGCACAACTCCCTCAGAAAATGTAACCTATTGAACTCTTCCCAATTGGTAATCAGGCTCCTTTCATTCTTCTGAATTACAAACACCAGCAAGAGAGGGAGGGAGAAATACACACGGATGCTTTACATCAATTAATTCCAACATACTGTCAAAATTTATCTATTATTAAACCTGCTATATAATTATATCAAAATCTCTTGCACTGGTTTGGTAGATATCTTAAATAATGTCTTTTTTCCTACATTTCTTTCACAATTTTATCTTTCATTAAATAGTTATTTCATTTTTCTTAAATCTCACAGTTCTTTGGTACTGATTAGATATCTTTCCTCACTAACATTGCCTTAACATCAGCAGTAAGACATGATCACACTGTGCTCCCTTTATTCACGATAGCCAATAGTTGTGTGAATCTCTGCTGACTTCACTGCAACCCCTTGTGTCAGCATCTTTCACCAGTGGAACATGTTCATGATCTGGCATGTGGTGTTTCGTTGGTCACTGGCACACTGACACGTCTGATTTCAGAGAACTTTTGGGAAGATAATGGCTTATTGCTTATTCTGTCACTGATTTAAATCTTGTGAGTCTTGTAAATAAGCACAGGTGAAAGACAAATTTTTCTATTAGCCCCATTTTATTGATGAGAAAAGGTGGACAAAGGGATGATGTACCACTCTAAGCCTTGCTTCACAGGTATTTTAAGAATAAGACAGAAAGTGACTGCAGCACTCAGTACTGTGGCTCACAGGCCACAAGGCAGATTGTCAAGAGACTACTGTCTGCAGCTCCTGGGTTCATGCCTTCTGAGGCCAGGATGAAATCCAGACCTAAGTTGTTCCTATCTATTATTTGTGTATTTATAGGGTGTCAGTCACTGAAGTACTGAAAGGCCAGACTAGCCCGAGGCCACTCCAAACGGAGTTCAGATCTCAGGAATTCCACCGTCCCATTCCCATGCTCTGTCCCCTCCTCTGTGAGACATGAAAATAAAACTAAAGATCAGGCCACCATTATCTCTAGGACTTTTTGACTTGATATAATGGATACAAGCACACCATCCCTGCTGCCAGTAAGTATTTACCCATTTTTTTCCACATTTCTACAGGAATTTCATGATGCAAAAGAGCAGTGCTGCAGTCAGATAAATCAGGAGACTTATTTCAGAACTGCCATGATAAGTCAATTGCATTCCCCTTGCTTGGAGTGGACAAGAAGGAGTAAAGGAAACCCTGCTGACAGAAAATATACATTTGCATTCAGCCACATCTCAAACTTACTCAGCAAGTCTTGTTCATTTTCTTCATTCTCATGCTCTTTTTTGCCTAGTTCAAGACAGTTAAAAATGCAGCTTGGGAAAAGCATGAGGCAGTGGAACAAGGGAATAGCTGGACTTTTTTTGGTACTCTCCTGTTGCCCTAAATTCTTATCTTTTTCTGGTAATAAAAATCATGTTGTGAGCAGTGAAGGTGACCCTTTATACAAGTCTTGCAAACTACAGGGCCTTGGGAATCTCAAATCAAAATGTGCTAAGGAATCTACAACAGTTAACTTCTTTATTCTTCCCTTGCCTAATCCACAGTTAGGAATTAAGAGAACAGGGATCACTAAATGAAACATATTTAACTATATCTGGAGTAGTTATCAATGTTCCCTTTGCCATTAACAGAAAGAAATAGGCATCTCGGCTAATGAAGACCAGGTAAATCTTACTCTCATGCTTCCTTCTCTCCAGTAGTTAAGTAAAGAGTTTGTTGGCTACCTTAAACATAGCTAGCTATACTAAAGTCCTATGAGACAAATCCCAACCTGAGTAACCACAGTTTAATCAGTTTTTATCCTTGTTATTTCTGGATTACGAAGTTTAACACAAGTAATGATGTGTAAACCCTTTATTTCATTTGCTTGACATGAATACCATAGTTTATAATTACCCTGTTCTCCCTGAATGGCTCCACCCTAAGGGCCCAACTGAGTAGGTATCGCTCAGCCACGCTTTCTCTTTGATGAGTAAGAAATGAGGGCCAAAGACCTGAAGAGCTTCTCTGCCCTCCTGTCTTTTAACTTCTCTCCATATTCTTCTCTCTCACCTAAGCTCTCATCACCATCCACAGCTTTTAGCAGCTGGTGGCCATGATAAAACAGGTCAGCTGCTGAAATTCTTCAGATAACTTTTGACAGTCAATTTGGATCAACAGCCTACAGGAATAGTGCAATTCTGAAAGCCACACTCAGTTTATACCCCAGTGCAAATGGTTAATGTTCAAATATGTCAAACAGCTCAGGATTAACTGTACTGGAAAGTATGAATTTAATTTCCTCTGTTTAAGAATTAGAAGAGAAGCTTGTTTTTTAAACTTCACAGTTGCAGAATACTAATTTCATTTTACTTTAGGGTTGTTTTCTGTGAGGTGGCAGGTACCACCAACAGCACTAATTGTTGTAGTACAACAACGTGCTTAAGCACACACATGGGTTTAAGCAAGTAAGTAGCCCTAATGAAGTAATTTCACTATACTTCAGTAGGCTAGACCTGAAAGTCTGAAAAATCAATTCTATTTTTCCCTATGAAAAAGCAATAGAAAACATTTATTTATTTTAAACCTATTCACGCAGTAACTACTGGCTTGACTTTGGACTGTGGTATTGTCTTGCACAACTTTCTTTCCAAGGTACTGTTTAGTTTCCTCCAGACCAGGAAGAAAGAGAGCAAATGAGAAAGATTGACACAGAATTGTATTTGAGGCCAGATTACCCAGAGGCAGAAACTGGTGGGCAGCCTTCCTTGGGACCCTGTTCCAATGACATAGTATGTCTTTTCATTAGAGAAAAACTGCTTTCACAGGCATCATAGCAACTCCTGAAGGACGCTCTGACTTTCAAAATGGGACAGAGAGTTACTGTTTAACACTGAAATACTATTTATTAGATAAACATTACATTTAAATAGCAAGAAAACACATGAGACCGTTGCAAAAGTTAATGTATTTTCGTTGCTGCAGCTTTGTCTTTCATGTTACTTTTCTTGAAGAAAGAGCTTAGTACAGGAGCAAAGGTTCAAAAAGCACCAGTAACATGAACTGCAATCTACTTGCTCAGTAACACTGTGTCTTCTCCACACTGTTCCATCACTGATTTCAATATTTGCTCCTGAATGATTGCTTTCTTTTTCACAACTCAAGGATCTTCTCATTGGTGCAGGAAGAAAGCAAAAACTTCTATGTGTGTGTGTGACATCAGTGTGCTGCCGCAGCAATGCGTGTCATCTTACATGCAACCTTTCAGGCTAAATTCTGCTCTTAATTATGCTTGATTCATGCTGTTGGCTTGCGTTCTTCTGCAGAAATTTAAGAGAGAAGAGAGATCTATTGCAAGACTGTTATGGGTACAGCTCTGCTCCCACGTTAATCTTACTTCACTGGTTTCAGCCGAGTTGCTCCTGATAGTTTACCAGAGATCAGGTTCAAGCATGAAAATTATCAGGAAGTAATAGGTCTTTATGCAAAATAAAAATATTTTTCCTCATTAATCAGGAAAGGCCATGGAAAAAGTGAAGAAGTGACTTTACATTTCGTTGATATGTGGGAACATTTGCTGAAGTACTAAATCCCCCTTTAAAGAAAAGTAACATGTGCTAAAGCTTTAAAAGGAGTCCAAACAGAGGATTAATTGAGGAGATTGATTTCAGTTCTCCCCACCCTGGTTTAATAGGCTTTTTCCCTACTGGGTTTTGGGGAGTTTGGTCTTTCAAACCACTTGTTCTTTAACAGCAGTAAGGAAGAAATCTGGGAATCGATTTATCGTGAGGATTTTCCGTTGTACTCAATGGACATTCTGTGCTGCCTTTTTCTTTTTTTTTTTTTTTTCATACTTTCTAGCTAATACAAATCTGTTAAAGTTTATATTTTGCATCTACCAGTATCATGTATCTTACTTAGACATTAAACACAAAAGACCTGGAGCCTGTGTTAAAACAAAAAGAAAGAAGAAAAGAGCATTTTATGCCAATATTTTATTGCAACATATAGCTCTTAATTTCAGGTTGCTTGGGATGTAAACTTGCTGATACACTACCGTGCTTTAGAAGTGCTGTGCATGAGCTGAAAGGCATAGAGTCAGATTGAATCTGAGAACTGAAAAATCTTCCATAACAAATGCAGCATTTGACCAAAGACTAAGTCCTGGTTTGGTTTTGGGTCATAAAGGTGCAAGGCCCTCATCAATCAAGTTCTTTTTGAACTGATCTAATTCCAGGACATTAACTCTTAAGAGCCCCAGGAGCCAAAACAGAGAGGAAATTACTCCTTTTAACAGAGGATGCTCTTGTAACTGCAGCACCATGACCCACCGACAAAGAGATCTCTGTCCCACACTGCAGGAGCAGGAGCTCAGGGCAGCTCTGCTCAGGGAGCTGCATCTACTCCTGGTCATACCACAGGTGGGGACAAGCAGTTGGAGGCAGCTATTTCTCCACGTTGCTTTAACCTCCTGCTATTTAAAGCTCTGGCGCAGAGCAGTCTGATCCAGCTTTACTGCAGCTCTGCTAGCGGATTTGGTCCTGTGCTGCATACGCCGGTGTAACTCGGACCAGAGTCAGACACACCAGGCCAGATCCTTGGCTGCGTTTGCAGACCACACACCCAGCAGGCTTAGCCTTACATCAGCTAGGAACAGCGAGAGCTGCTCAAAAACCAGAAGCGGAATACTGGCTTTTTAACAGCGTAGTTTTTAATTGTGAAAATGTTCTTCCAGGTTTATTTAAGCCACAAGAGATCAGAACAGCAGGCAGGGGACCAGCTCCCCAAAAGAGGGTTCAAGGCCAGGCTGGATGGGGCTTTGAGAAACATGGTCCAGTGAAAGGTATCCCTGCCTGTGGCAGGGGGTTGGAAGTGGATGAGCTTTAAGGTCCCTTCCAACCCAAACCATTCTGTGATTCTCTGATCCTATGAAGACTATCCCAGTCACACCCCTTTCTCTCTAGGAATAGATATGCCCATACTATGGCCAGAAACTGCTGACTCCCTGATGCAAAGCACATGATCTGGCCCCTATACTACATTTTCTGTCAAAGCTGTACCTAGAATTTATGAAACTCTGGTGATTTTTTTTCCCTCTGTTCTGTTTTAGATCAGGCTGAGAATTCATCTGAGCATTCAGAGATTTTTAATATCATCCTTTTCTGGCTAAACAGGCATAATGTTTTATTATTTTCCCACATTGCAGGCTTTCCAAAATGTATTGCTTTTATAAGTCTGAATGTAAGAAGAGGGAAAGAAAACGGGTAATTATATGTCCTATCCTTTCTTATCAAAGCCGTGTATTGGAAAAGAGGGAGAAATTGAGAAAAATTGAGAATAAAATTTATTGTAGGTATTACGTCTCAGCTGAATGTCCTCCAACAGAGCTTCCTTTCCCAAACCTTGTGATTTCAAGGACTGTGTATGGTACATCTCATACACAAGGATTTACTTGGGTTTCTTTTGCAATGCAAAAAAAAACCCTATTTCCAGTCTAACGCAAATAGCAGGGGAAAAAGTGTGTTCAGTGATATCTCCCAGAACTACATCTGCATTATAATTGTACAGAGAGTTTAAAATGCCTGGCCTGCCTATAGAAACCAGCTGGTAAGAAGAGAAAAAAAGAGAAAAAATAGAAGAAGACAAAACCCTATTCCTACAGGAACCTGAAGGAAAACACAATTAGTGGGTGTTCTCACTTACCCTCCAAATCTTATAGCATGTGCTCCTTTCCCCAGGACATATATTAACAATCTCAAAGGGGCGTTTGCCTGTCACATTACACCCTAGAGCTTTGGATCAGTATTTGCCTACTCCCGTCAACCTCAAGCTCTTAAAAGTCATGACTCCTACTCCAGGCCAGTACGTGATGAGCTCCTAAATCCTTAGACACTTTTCCCAGCTTTTTCATTTTTCATTAGAAAGTTTAAGTCATATTTTTAGATCACATCTCCCCTTGCCAGATATCCATACAGTACGTACAGTGCTGCCAGGTCTAAAATAGTGAGAACATTGAGAAATACTTTCAGAAGTTCTTTACAAGACCTCTACCTGGGAGTCCTACATGTGGTCAGGTCACAGTGGCTTTGTTTGGGTGTTATTTCTCCCTCACATCATTTCAGTGGCTTCAGCCCCACATCTACAACTTAACTTTGCAAGCAGCTCAGCCTAGAGAGCAAAAGCATGCACACACGCTCCAGCTATACATCAGTTCATCCCCCAGCCTCACATCTGTTTCTTGACCTAGCATCACCCCTGCTCCTTCTGCAACACTGGAGGCTCCACATCTGATGCGGTCAGTCCAGGGAGGGTTTACCCTCTCCCCTCCTCCTTGTCCTGAAGGGGGCTCCTGCAGATGCCTTCGGATACAGATCAGAAGAGCAGATATGGGGCAGCAAGGACCACAGTCCTTCTGAACTGCTGGGTCTTTTCCTGATCCCCTCTTCTTCTTCCCTCCTGTGGGATTAATATGGGGTCCTCCCTTCTCCACCTTCCTACAGAAAATGTCACCAGCTCATGCACGAGAGGAAAGGAGTCCTGTGGGCTGCCCCCAGCAGCCTCACTGGATTCCCTATGGCTGCTGGGGACATGGCAGAGGCAGCTAGCCAGGACTGCAAAGCACACAAGGGCTGCGGCATCTTACCCCACTGGGATCTCGGTATCTCTTTGACATGCTCTAAGTACCAAGAAGTCTAAAAATGGGGTGATAATGTTTCTTCCCACTGGTCCTGGGCAGCGCCTGTCAGGCTGGACATACTCAATCACCCTAGCAGATGTGTCTAGAGCTTCTTTCCAGTGACTTCTTTAATCTTTTCAACTAGAAATTCCGTGGCACTCCCTTTAATAAAACATCCACTTTACCACTGTTTCTCATTATTTCCAGTGACCAAGCTGTAGTTAAACATGCAGCTATCAATTACAGTTACAGTTCACTACTCAAGTAGTAAAATCAGCTCATCAGTCATTCACACTCGAGACAAGCTTGAAGCTTGGCCTTCATTTCTGAGACAGATTATCGTAGTCCTTGGTGTAAGTTGTAATTATACTATTCAGTTATAACCAGCTACTGGAGTTTCCCAGAACCAGTGAGAAAACGAGGACATCTAAATGAAAACAACACATTTTTAGGCATAGAGCATGGATCAAATTCCTGGAATGAAAACTGTGCAAGATGACACGAGTGTTATGAGTTAAGGCGTACCCAGTGGTTTATATGAAAGATCACGTACCTCATAGAAATTCAGTTTTGAGGTGAATGTGTGTTTTGGGTTTGAACTTTACATGGGATAAACTTTCTTATTTTCCAATGCACTCAGCTCCTATACATCTATTTTGTGGTAATCTACTGATTTTCTGATATTAAAGCATTGCATAGATAAAAAAGAGGAAGAATGGTTACTTGCTTATAAATCCTACCTAGTCAGCATTATGAAGCACAATAAATACTTCCACAGACTGTGTTTAAAATGAGGTCCAGCCTACTGAGTAAGGCTGAAGAAAGAATAGCAGGGGATAAGTGTTGCTGCATCCCAAATTGCAATGGCCTGTCCTATATTTTAGTATCTGGGAGATTATGAAGAACATCTAGGCAGTGGAGGTCCCCATAAGATTCAGAAAAACAATGTGGAAGACCTATGTGAAATCAGGATGAAACACTCAGGAGAGTTAGGAAACCTAACAATCTAGAGACTGCTGCCTGGAATATGATAGGGAGAGAAAATGGAGAAACAGGTTGTCTTTGGAATAGTAACAGTTGAGAAGTTTGCTACTGCTGAGTGGAGCAGCAATAGGACAAGATAAGGTGATGGTGAGAAACCCAGCAGGCTCTGGGGGATTGTCAGATCCAAACTAATGTACCAAGTGCACCCATTACTTCATATACATTTTGTACATACTCACATATTACCTTACACCTCAAATTTCACTTTTGTCAAACACACACAAAAAAAAGAGCATGTTTCTCTTCCACCCCATTTCTGTAAACAGTAAATCAGACTTCAGAGAGGTCGTAATTTTTGCTCATAGGGGTCGGACTAATAATACCCATTCTGGATACAGTGCTGCGCCCTTCCGTTTTGGATGCTCTTGTCTGGAATGGAATCTGTTAAACAAGAGCCCTGGTCCCGGTGGGCACCTCCTGACAGTGACACACGCAGCAGCAGAGGTGCTAAGTGAGCAGGGGGTGTGGGAATGAATGGTATGTTGGGGAGGGAACCTAATAGAAAAATGTCACAGGACAAGGTAAAAATGAGAGCCTACCTCTCTTCTAATCAGCTCCCAGATAGATGCCTCAGTGATTTAATGAGGACAGCCTGAAACCTCATCTGGATTTAAACACTTAAGCTATCCTTTTGGCTCTCAGTGGCCCACTTTTCATTATTTTAAAGATGTCCTGCAGTGATTATCCATTATTTACTTAATACCTCCTTGTTTAAAGCACTTGGCTAAGTGATAGGCCTAGGATGAAGGAATTTCTCTGAGTAGACCAACAATGGAGTAAGGGAGAGCAAAACTGTTCGCTGCTGCTGTCAAAGCTGTACCATCATCACATCAAACAGAGGAAGACTTGTGGTGCTGAGAGCAAAGCTAGGGTGTGACTGTGCTGCCCATGGGTCCCCCAGCCAAAGGTAATGCTTTATTCCACATCTCAAACTTCAGGATGCTCATACAGCAGGAATTAACAGTCACTACTAAAATAAGAAACAGTGTTGGGAAGACAGATAATCCCAGATCTCCAGTTGGGTTTACTTATACCTCTATTTTTTACTTGTCCTCAATCCCACTCTCTCTTAACTTTCCCTGGTCAGATGAATGGTTACTTTCCTGCCCTTTCTCCTGCAATACAGGAGGTAATCAATTTTAGCCCTTAAGTTGTGGATGGAAGAGAAACAAGGCAGCCAAGCCTTGTTCTGGTGACGAGTATGGAAGATGGAAATCACATTCTCCACAATCAGTTATGTGGATCTGGGCATCAACTTCTTCCAATTGGCATGCACCCCTTTGATTTTCAAAGCTGAGGCTGCCTTTTAGGAAGTACCAATGCAGACACTGATTTTCTAAAGAGAGTACTCTCCTCACCTGGTATTGTCTGCTATGTCTTTGACCAAGTCTTAACTTCAAAACTATATAGATTAGAAAATGAATTGTTTTCACTTAATGAAAGACATTTCTTCCCTCTTCCATCCCCTACCCCCCACCCCCCATTAAAATCAGTTTTCATGTTCTGTGTGTGTGTGTTTAGCTACATTTGATAAATCATGAGCTAGGGGTCAATGAGATATCACCATCGTTTGAGTCAGATTTGACGTGTACTAACCAATCCTGACAAATTTCCCACCGATTACATCCTAAGATATAGTTTTGCTGCAGGATGAAAGAACAGGACTTTGTGGGTGAGCAGATTTCTCAGATCAGCACAATGAGAAGAATTAAAAGGATCCCAGCTAACACACGCACAGAAAATACTGGGTTTTAAGTACAAAAGAAATGTGCCAAAAGATTTTACAAAAAGTTGCAATTCTGCAATTTTTGTACCCGATTTTAAGTGCAATGACTCATGTGCTTTCCTTTGATGCGACTAAACAATGTACAGAATAAAACCATGCTGTACTGTAGAGAATCTCAAACCAATCTGAAGAGTACAGGCAGTCCTGAGAAATTCTCTTCCCAATTAGCTTAAACTGGCCAGATAATTCAGTGTGAGTTTACCAAATCTGGCTTCACTGACTCCAGTGTTTCGACTTTCTGGAGTTTCCATTATATCAGGTTTAACTATGTAAAATGCAAACGAAGAAATATAAGGCATATTTAGCTGACAAATCAGGTGACTTGACATATTTTCACATCTACCTTGACAGATAGATAGGCAGTTTCTGAGAAAACGACACCTCCAAAGGAAAAACGACGCCTTTTTACATCCAGTCCCACAGTTTACTTAATTGTTGACACTTCACAGAGGCAATTAATATACAATGAACCACACAGGATGGAGAATGAAAAACTACAAAATTTGGCATCGATCCTCTCTAACTAGACCTAGAAGAGGCTTAGTGCTAAAGGGAGCTGTCAGGGCTGTGGCAAATTATATTGTGACACTCAATGGAAGAGAAGAAACCTGAAAAATAGATCAGTATTTACTTACCAACTGTTCAGGTTCAGTTTCAGTGAAGTTACTTGATATCTGAATCTGGTAAATACTAGGGGAGCAAAAGAATAAGCATTCAAATTCTGTCAACATTTCTGATTTTCAGAAATGCTTCCTACTCATCATCCTCTTTTGCTTCTGTTGGGTTTCTGGCTCTCAAAAAAAACCAAAACATCATTTACTTTTTTTATTCATAACTTTTATGTTTCCAGGAACCCCCATGTTCCCAAGTTTTACAATCCAAATGTTTTCTGAAAATGTATTTCAAAGTCATTTCAAACTGCTAAAGGAAGCAGAATCTTAAATCTGTCTATGTGAACTAGCAGCATAGTGCCTTTACCCAGTAAGCAGCAGAAACAATATTATGCAGCCTAATATGTGGGAATAAAAATAATTTGAATAATGAGCATCGAATACTGAAAACATGATATGCATTTAAAACACAGAAAGCAAATCTATTGCAGGCTTTCAATACTACGAATCTGAGTGGGTTTTACTTTGGTTTGTGTCTCGTTTTTTCATATTTATTTTCCAAAATTACTTCCAACAAATGTTGAAAATCGTTCATTTGTTGGTACTCAATATAAAGACACAGTAAAATGTGTTTCATTTAGCAGAGAGAGAAAATACTTCTGATGGCATTATCATTTCTGTCTCACTTTAGAGGTCTATCTAAAATGCTATTTAAGTCTGATCGAATTCTGTTCCCCCTTTCACTATCAAAGCAATGGCTATTTACGCAATGGAATAGATTTTTCGATGTATATGTTACCTGCAAGTTTTGCCTTTATGGCTTCTGAAGTGATTGTCATAATGCATATTACTGAGGCAAAAAGACCTAGGAAACTGTGAGACAACTCATATTTAAGTCATAGTCTTAATGATACCTGAAAGCATATTCCCAGTATATGAATTTTAAATCTACCTAAATATTTGTACTCTATTATCGCACCCATCCTATCATCATCAAAACAATGTCATGCAAAGTTATTATCTGAAGCTAATAGATGCATTCAGTTCTATAGCTTGAATAGAGAATACTTCTAGAGAATAGTTCACCCCACATGTTAAAAAATATCCTAATTTTATAAATCCTTCTGAAATACTTTTTAATACAAAAACCAAACAAAATTTGCTACCTTAGTGACCTTCTTCAGGTGGAAGTTTATTTCTACAGGTGGAAGACCATTGAATTCCTTTCACTCTTAGTGTGGTAGTCAAAAAATGCTGACTATTTCAAGACAGCACATGTTGGGGACTGCTGTCAAGATCAGACCTCACTTTCCCCTCAGTCCAATTGACTGAGAAACTGTTCTATTAACAGTAGTTTCGACGAAGACCTAACGCTGATGTTTTTACTGTTTCCTGAGATACTTTTTCTAGGCATGTTATATGACTGAAGACAAAAGGAGAATTCCCATTGGTTCAAATGTCCAGCAGGCCAGGTCCTGTATTCATGGAAATAATAAATACATTAATAAAGTCAAAACTCCATAAGACTTGCAAAACCAAATCTTTACAGCAATGTAAATTTATCCATGTTCATTTTGAATCTAAATTCTGGGTGGCACAAACAAATTAGGCTGAAGAGAAACCTAGCATGGGAATTAAATGTTTAATTTGTTTTTAAGAATGTGTTTTGCTTTTTGTAACTGGTGCATCGGTCACATAATAATGGAGGAGACTGAAATCTATAATCATAATAGCATCCTTGCATTAGACAGAAGTAATGCATGGGGAAGAAAAGAAAATATTTCAGGCAGCAAATGTCATCTGCATCCCCATACATGAATAGGCTCTAGCAGATTACACTTTTGTACAATCATTACTCAGTGCCTCAATCAGGCTACTCACATTTTAATTTCAATTTGATTTAATTGCAAGAATTGTAATTTCAAAAGAAATTATCAGTACAGAACCCAATAGTGTTTTATCTTAATTACAGCTTATTCTTCATGTCATCTATTCTTCTCTGAGGATGATGAATAATTGATTACATGATTTGCCACAATTATTTGATGAATAATCAATGGTATTCAATCAATTTGTTTAGCGATTGTACTTTGCAATTTACATTTAAGTAAAAGATTAAGATCTTCTGCACAGTTAAATAACGAACTATGTTTAAATAATGTTAAAACTGTAACACAGTGAAACAAAAGCTAATCAAGTTAGGGTTGTGATTTACACTTGTGCCATTATAGAGAAGGAAAAGGACAAATGGTATGTTATCCTTAACTTCTGACACCCTGGATTCTCAAAGTGTAATTTTTAAGTAAATTGGATTTAATAAGAACAAAAGATTCTTTAAAATTATCATGGATATTTATCCAAAATAATATTTATTGCCTTCTATCAAGGTTTTTTTCTGTGCAGTATTTACAAATCTGGGTTGATCTTATGAAACGGCTAATCATCAAGTGTCTCGGTGGATGTGGGATCAGACATATGCTCTCAAAGCTGTTTCATCTCTTAAAGTGAGGACAACAGAAGGATGTTCAATCTCAGTGTCTCCTGTCGAAACAGAAACACCTCCAGGCAACGAAATGGACACACTCCTGAGGAAAGCACTGTGAAAAATCCATAGTAGCATCATAAGCATACAGGTAGGAGTCTAATACCTGCTGGGACTGGGAAATAGGTATGCGAAAGACCACTGGGTTTCTGAGCATTCGTTTGGAACTAGAGAAATGTTGGAGTTTTGCCACTATTTCTAGAATACAACTAGATTTATCTGTGACCACTTGGAATGCAGAGTACAATCATCCATGGCAGGAAAACGTGGGGATGTTTTCCAAGAGCTGATCCAAATGCCACTGAAGCTAGCAGGACTGACTCCAGCTCCAGTGGGAGGGAACACAAGGCACAGCAGTGGGTCTCAGAAACAGGACTGGGAGTACTTACATGCATTGTAAACTAAATTAAACATTGTTCTTTTCGTCTCAGGCAAGTTGCTGATTTTATCCTAGTCCATAGGAGATAACTAGGCTAGAAGAACCCAGTGGAGAAGTCTGTGATCAAAGGCAGGGTGTGAAACCTACATATAAGGATAACATTTTAGCCCAGGTATAAAGGACAGAGGGAGCTAAACAGCTAGAGAAAATGCCTGGGAATTAAATCCATAAGAAACCTTTTTTAGCAGGCCATGCAAGGATTCAGCTAACTTTTAAACATAGATTAGCAAAAACCATATAGCTGAAAAGTTATGGAGCCTATGGATAAAGCCAAAACAAATCAAACAGGCAAAAATTAGCAGGAGAGCTCCCCAGAAGCAGCTGGTCTGTGCTTCACACCACAGGGAAAAGCTAAACAAAAATAGGACAGTACAAACTGACCTAGGAAAATTGCGCCTAATCTAACACAAATTTTGTTTTCAATACACAGTAAAACCATCAGGCACCTGTGAGGTGGCCAATGTCAGTATAAGGACCGCTGTGCTTCATTCAAACTCTCCATCTCCTTTTTCTATTCCCCAATGTTTAAACTGCTTTACTAATTAGACAGCATAGTCTGGCCTGTGTCTTCTGTATTGGCTGAATCCAGCAGCTCTAGATCATTGGACCAGGGATGGAAGGATCTCTGGGGTCCATCTGGTCCAGCCATCTCTTCCAAGCCAGGTTAGCCTCAAAGCTGTATCACTGTTAGATCATATTTTTGCTGCCTAGCTGAGGAGCTATTTTTGTTCACATCCCTGCATTGCAGTCACATCTCTGCTTGTAAGTTTTTAATATGAAAACATAGGACACTTTAAAGATAATAAGAAATAAAATATTTCCTGGGAGAGGTAGGATTGGAAAAGAAGATCTGATGGATTGCTCTAGGCATTTCCTTCCAGGGTACCTGTGTGAATTTGCACGGTCGTTTTTCCCCCCTCTTCAAAATCACACAAAAACCTTTCATACTTCACATTTTTAAATTGCAAGCGTCTGCAACATAGGCCAAAAATTGCATTCCTCACATGAAATTCATAACTGTCAGCACCACCTTATAGAGAAAAATCCTAGAGTGTATTTTAGGTACGTTTTTCATAAAACAGGTAACAGTCCCATGAAAGTTGCAGTTCTTGCTATGTTACAGAAACAAAGCTGGGACTCCGGCCCTTTTGTAAACTTGCTTATCAGGTGTTACTATGTTTTTTCTTGCATAAATATTTTGGAATATTCAATGAAAGTTTAAGACATATAAACAGATACTGTGATTATGGGCCTTTTTAATGTGGAAGTTTTCCTAATACTCTCTCAGCCCACTCCAGTGGCAGAGTAGACCCTACCCTCAAATTATCCCATCTTCAGGTGAATGAAAAGTGCATGCAACTAAAAACTGCGAGCAGTCCCCGAGGGTTGAATGCAACAAACGCACAGGAGAGCCGAGTAACTCCCACAGAAACTGCAAAATAAATCAGGGGGAATATTATAGACCTTTCCCCAGAACCTGCATTTGCAGATTGTGATTTGTCACCTTATTTACTCCTGTTCACAGGGTTATGGACGTATTTTGTCTCTGGAACAAATAAAGTCCCCTAGGTTCAAAAAGAAATCTCTCTGTGCTGTTTCATCAGGACTATAGTTGGTAACTTGGACAGGCTTTATTTCTGTCCATGTAGTGAAAACCAGAGCTGGTTATAACACTATTAAAGCAGTTATGCTGGATTTGCATTGCAGACGTGGCTGTAGAATGGGTAAATTACATTACTGTAGCAAACTTCCCAGGCTGCCCATATGGTTAAGTAGAAACTAAGAGTTTATAGCTTAATTAGAGGCATTTGTAAGTGGGGATCAGATAAACAGATACACAACTTAAAAGAGTGCATTGGCCGTAAATTCTTTCATTCCAGATTCAGATCTGCTAATATATGACTGTAATCACCTTTGACAAGGTTATTTACAAGCCAAGCAATCTTATTTCCTATGCCTTTGGAACCTGAAGTGGGAAGAAATATATGATGAAAATCATGCAATGCTGCCAGCACAGTCTAAACATATTTAGATCTTGTTGATAAGTGCTACAGCAAGGCTTGCATAGGTGGCAGGGGGGAACACAGGGTGAGGGACAAACAGCTTTGTAGCAGCAGCAGTACAAGCAGTTCTTTTGCCATCTTTGTCATCTTCTTCTTCACTTTCCCTTAAGAATGGGTTCGTTTTTTCACACTTCTGCTTCACTCTTCCTGTTTTTTCCTGAATTACAGGAGAAATCCAAATTCATTCTGATGGAAAGAGTGGCAAAGGCTGCCTCTTCTGAGGCTTCACCTGTCTGTACAAGTGGTTTTGCTTTCTCTCTGAAAACTTCCACACAGATGCAATCTGGAAGTGCCTATTTTCAGGCTTGGTTAAGATTTAAAAGGAGTTGTTCAGCGGTGTGACAGTGATACTACATCCAGGATGCAAGGAAATGGCAGAGCAGAGCACCCAGGGTTAGAACTCCAGCTGAAGCTTCTAAGGTGATAAGTAGGTTTAACACTCTTGCCTGTAATAAAGTTGTAGCCTAGGGTCGTAGCCTGAAGTTGTTTCCTGTGTGTTACATTTCTATTTTTTCGGAGACAGAAAGCTGATTTTGACCAGATTGGACTCCAGATAACAAACTTAGGCTGCTAACACAGGAAAACCAAATGTGCTTCAAAGCACGAAGGGAAAATTGCCATTTCCTAACCTCAGAAAATTCCTATTTAGAGAGTCAAGAGAGACACTGCTAAACTACAGACCAAATTTCAGCTTTATATTAAGCTTCCTCAGTTCCAAACACATTTGTTTCACCAAGTAGGGAGTTTCAAATCACTGAGAAGTCTCTCTGGTAACATTATCTCACCTTCCGATTTGCATCTATAGAAAAATATCCAACATTGAGTTAAACGGCTCCATTGCTACTCATCCTTCTCTTGCATTTTTTCACAGAGGATTAAAACACTATGAGACCACTAGAGAACCAGGAGCCCAGCTCACATTGCTTAAGGGGTGTGAGGTGTGAGCAACTGAAACAAGGGCTGCCAACTCCAACAGCTTGAACAGACACCAAAAAAAAGAGTGCCCAAAAGCAAAGGGATTTAAATGCATACTTGGCTACTTCACCATCCTCAGAATGCCCACCACATCCTTTAATGCCTACCACATGCGTTTTGCTATGTTTTTTACATTAACACTGGGTCTTCTTGGCTTTGCGACATGTCCACCATTGCCAGCTCTCCCAGGGAGCTTTTCTAAGCAGCTCCGCACAGCCAGGAGGGCAAAGGCTGATGGCAAGGGCTAAGGTCTAATGGTGACGATGACCCTACGCTCCGTTCTCTTTACAGTGCCCCGGGTGCGATGGGTGGGTAAGCGTAGCCCACCACCAACACCGTGGCGCGCATACCCGGCCGGAGCAGGCTCCATCGCCCACCTTTGCACGGATTAGCAGCGCAAGTCTTTAATTAACTTCCCCTCTCCTGCTCCCTCGGCGAGGAGGAACCAGCGACTGCCCCCAGAGCTCATCCGACCGGAGTAAAAGTAGGGGCCCTGCCTGCCCCAAGCTAGGGTCAATGGGGTTTCCACGAGTCCCCCCGTGCCCGCCTGCCCCACACACCACCGCACATCCCGCACCGGCCGCACATAGGCGCGGCCAGCCCAGGCCCCGCCCCGACGGGTTTTCCAGGCGGCTGGCCGGCCCTGGCCCGACGGCGATTGGCGGGCGCTGCGGGCGGCAGCCAATGGGCGCGGCGGGACGCGCATGTCGCCGTCCGGGGCTCGGGGCGGTGGAGCCCCATTAGGGCGGGGAGCGGGCGCGGGGTTCGGCCACTCGCGGCGGGGCGGCGCAGCGCAGCGCAGCGCAGCGAGAGGCAGCGCAGGAGGCTTGGGGCTGACCGTGCCCTCTGCGGCGCTGCCCGGCATGAGCGTCTCCTGCTGGCGCTGACTCCGTGGGGCTGAGCTGCGCACCCGCCTCCGCCGCTGTCGATGTGACGGACTCTGCCGCCTCCGCCGCCCCGGAGTGCAGCGCTGCGGTTCGGACGCGCTGCGGGGACGGTAAGTGGCGGCTCCCCACGATGGGGGACACTGGCAATCAGTCTGCAGCGGCGCTGCGGGAACTCGGCGGGGTTTGGCTGGGCGACGTCCGCAGCCGGGACTGTGCCGCTGGCGGCGGCGAAGCCTTTCCTGCGGCATCCCGCTCTACGGTGGGGGTCCTGCGCCCCTGCCGCGGTTGCATCGCCGGCGCGGCTCTTTACCCAGGGAGGGCATTCCTCAGCGCCGTCCTACGCGGAGTTGTTGGATGGGGGCTGCGGGCTCGGGCTCGGGGGCGGGGAGGTCCCGCCGAGCCCCGCGGCGGCTGTCGGGGGAGGGCGGGTGATGCGGCGCCGGCTCGGTGCGGTGGACTGGTGCCGCCGGTCTGAGCGAGGTTCCAGATGCGGGAGCTCAGCTGTTGCCTGTCACTGGGGTGACAACTGGTCTCTCTCTGGCAGCCTTCGCCTTCTCGTCCCCGGCGGAGTGTCCGCGCCTGGGCGCCGAGTCAGCGGAAGGGTGCGGGGAACGGGACGACCTCGGTCCTTCATCGCAGCGGTACCTTTCGGGCTCAGCGCTATTAGCGCGTTGTGTTACTGGGGGATGAACATCGCTCGTGTCCTCCCCCCCAGTTGGCTGAGAAGCAGCACGGACCCATCCCGAGTTTGTCTTTTTCCTGCCTGGAAGGGCGGCGGGCACTCCCTGAGCCCCTTCTCCCAGGGAATGTATGGTTTCAAACTCCAGTCGCCACCATCTATCATCCGGGCTGGGTCCTGGGCGCCTTCGCTATGGTGCGAGCCGCGGGCGGCCGGGTCTGGCCCTGGACA